GGCCGTCGGCGCGAGTTGGCGCGGGTGCGCGAGCGCCGTCCCCGCGCCTCACTGCCCCCACCCGCGCGCGGTCCCGAGCACTGAATCCCCGCCTTCCTCCCGAAGTCAAAGGCTTGGGGAATCCCTGAGCCCATAAGAGCGGGGGCGCGCAAGTGTGAGGGAAGGGAGAGGGCGCGCGCCCGAGGGGAGAGCGCGCGACGCGGGCGAGCGCTCGCCCATTCACTTCGGCTCGAGGCGAGGCGAGGCGCGCGCGCGGGCGGCGGGCGGGCGGAGCTCTGCTCTTTCACCTGCCGGAGCCGCGCGGGCCGGCAAGGAGGAGGCGGCGCCGCGAGCGCCCTGCCAATCACCTCGGCGCCTGGCAGCGCCCGGCCGCTCCTGCCCGCCCCGCTCCCTCCTGCCAAACTGTTACCCTGAGTGTTACCGTCAGGAGCAATGACATCAGGGTTTTAAAACAACTTGTTATTCGGGGAGTAATCAGTTGCAATTAGGCATTAATTAAGTATTATGAAAGTTGATTATTTAAGTGAATTCGGCTTTCGACTCTCCGACTATGGTGAGGACCGGGAGCGGGCCGGGGGAGGGCGCGGGGGCCGGGGCCCTCGGGGGCGACCCCCGCGCGGGGCAGGGCCAGGCGGGGACGGGACGGGACGGGACGGGACGGGACGGGACGGGACGCGCGCCCCCGGCCCCGCGCCCTCCTTGCTGGACCGGGACGAGTTTCGGGAACTCGGGGCGCAGGGGCGCGCGGGCCGGAGCGTGGGAGCGGGCGGCGGCGCGGGTGGACTCGGGACGCCGGGGGCCCGGCCGCGATGCGCGGGGCCCGGTGGCCTGGAAGGGGGCGGCGGCGGCGGCGGGCGGCGGCCGGGGCCCGGCGAGACGCTAACAGAGTCTCCTCTTCTTTCCCGTGCTTCCCTGCCTGGCGTGCCTCGAAGAGTTTGGGACCAAGGAGCGCAGAATGGATCTCGGAACAGGTACCGGCCGGTGGGAACCCGCGGGAGGCTCTTTCACTTTTCTTTCGGTTCTTTTACGGAAGTTATTCTTTTTAGTCCAATGAGCTCGCGGCGGAGCAGGGTGCCGGCCGGGCCGAGGGTCGGTGCTACCGCCCCTGCGCTCGCTGCTCTCTGGATGGCGAGATGGTTATTATTTGTTACTTGCTTAGTGACTGTGACTAATTTAATGCTTGTCATTGTGAAAGAACCGAGAGGACAGGGAGCTGGGGGGCACCCGAGGAGATGATTTAGGGGGTTTTTGTGGGGGTTTTTGTTCTCCATGTTTTTGTATGGGTCCGTGTTTTTAAAATATACATATACTTTTCCCCCCTCTGTAAAGAGCTCTGTGTGTCTGGCTATGGGGTGTATGTTTTTATTTTTTTTAGTGGGGGGTGGTTTAGTTTTTGAAAGCAGCGTCCTGTTGGGAAAGGTGGTTAGTCTGGTTTCGGGGCGACTGTCTCAAGGTAAAGGAATTTAATTTATTTGGGACAAGGCTGTGTCGGATGATCAAGCTGCTTATTATGGCTAATGAGTGTTTTTCACCTGAGAATCTGTGGGCTGAGGCTGCTGTTATCAGTTCAAAGTGAGGGGCCCAGGACTCTCTCCCGGCCCCCTTTTAGCCCCCGCCCTGGAGGTGTTGATGGGCCAGACTAACTTTAGGTATCTGGGTCTGGGGGCCTAGGTTGGGACGCAGGTCAGGCTCCACGTAGCTGCTGGCCTGGGACAGAGTTTATCCTGGGAATTGGGTGTCTTACTGGTTTTAATCTAGTTTTGTTCAGTCGTTCTCTTCACACCCTGGCTCCCAGCCTGAGCTGAGAGAGCACTGTCTCAGCGCTTCAGGCTCCCTCCAGCCCTCTTATCGAAACCAGGTTTTATCAGGACCCTCACATACTAGGTCTTCAGAAGCAGCTCACTGCCCTCTAAATGTCTTAAAAGAAACAAACAGGTTGAGGTTGCTAACTGACTGGGACTGATCTCTGAACCCTTCGGTTCCATTTATAGAAGGAAAGGTGGCTTTGGTGGCTGTTAAGGGTTGTTAAACTTGTAGTTCATGACAGGCCCAAGTTCATGGATCCCTTGGGACCCAGGAGCTGACTTCTGACCCTCTGAGGTCAGAGGGGAGTAGGCTGAGAGGGCAAGGGGTGGCATTGGTGAGTGGCATGGTAGCTGGTGTTAACAAGGGGGTGTGTGTTGTGGGGGAGGCAGTTTTTCACAGAATTTTTAGACTGTCCCCACAGGTGTGATCTTGGCTAAGGGGATGTGGAGGTCCCCAGGACCTCTTTGCCCAGGAAGGGTGAGACGCCCCCTGCTGGGCAAAGTGGTGAAGGTGTCCAGAGGCCACTGATACCACCCTGCCCCTCCCGGCCCTCCACGCCCACAGAGAACCAGCCCGCCCCCACCTCTAATCAGGTGTCTCATCGCTGAGCTCTCAGGCCCCACCCCCTTTCTTCGGAAATGGGGCCCCCACCCAGCCCAGCCAAGGAGCAGCCCTCAGAGATGGGCCGGGCATTGTCACCACCCCCTACCTGGCACAGGCAAGCCTCTGCCCATGGGCGGGCATATGGGACCCAGGCATTACTCAGCTGGAAGGCAGGCCTTCCTGTCTTCCTCCTTCTAACCCCAGTGCCAACTGGAGCTGGTGCCTATCCTCCTGCCGTGCCAGTCCCTCCCGGGCTGCTGTTGGGGCACTGCTCCACAGCCCTTCTGTGGGGTTTCCCGATAGCCTGGTGGGAGGCAAGTGACAGGACCTCCCATGGTACTTCCTGGAACCTTAGAGAGACTTCTCCCGGCACTCCAGGGTCAAGCTCTGGAAACTTTTCCTAGAAGCCAGAAGGGCCCCAGAGGTCAGCTGGAGAGAGACACTCCCAGTGGGACTCGGGCCTGGACTCTGGCCACTGAGAGAGGGGAGGTCCAGGGTGTCAAAGTTCTGACAGTTTCCTGGAGGAATCATCTGGTGATACCATCTCAGTCTTTTTCTCTGAACTTGGAAGTTTCACTTAATCTCAGAACTTCTGAAGAAAAGGACTTTTTTTCCTCACTTCACACACACACACACACACACACACACACACACACACACACACAATGGGAAGGAGGGACTCATCCTTTCTGGGCCTGTCTCCCAACCTCTGGAAGGTGCAAGGGACACAGGGCTTGTTGCTGGTGGGATGCAGGGCTCTTTTCCTTTGGGGGTAGCAAAGGAGCTTTAGCCAAGGGCCTCTTAGCACAGTGTGAGGTTGGAGATGCCACCTTTGGGACCCAAAAGAGTTGCCAGCACAAATATTGGATCATGGGTTAACATCCCCTCTGGTCATGACACATCTAGTCCTGAAGCACCCAGGCCATAACTAATTCATTGTCGAGTGAGTCGAGTCTGCTCAGGAGGGGACAGCAGGACCTCAAGACCCTCAAAGTGGCCATGTGGACCCCTTCTCCTCTACCATAGTTCAGCCAAGGGCTGGATCAATCTGGACGTCTTTAGCAATAAAAAATGCCGATGTCGTCCTAATTCACCAGGCCCCGAGATGACAGCAAATTTACATTTTTTAATTAAACTAGCAGCCAGTTTTTATGAGAGGGGGTTGGGTTATGCAAATCAAATGGTTGTGTACGGAAGATTAGGAGAGTTTGGGAATAAATTCCACAAATGCTAATAAAAAAAAGAGGAAAGAGAGAGAGGGAGGGAGGGAGGGAGGAGAGAGAGGAAGAGAGGAGGACATAGTTCCATTAGGCCCTTTTAGAGTGATTTCCCTGGGGCAGGGAGCTGGGAGGGGAGGGGAGGGGAAAGGGAGTGGGGGAGGAAGCTTTCAGACACAGGTAAATCCATCCGCTCAGTTGGGAAGCTCCCCAGGATTAGGCCCCCGCCTGGCTGATTCCTGGGTCTGAACACGAATGGAAGGGGGGGTGAAAATGGCAGTGAAACCACAGTAGATCTTTGAGAAGTTTTCAAGTAATTCTCCTTTCCCCTCCAGGGGAGCTAGAGAAGGGGAGGGGCTGTCCAATAGAGGATCCAAGGTAGGCTCCACTGGGCAGAGGGCCAAATAGGCAAGAGGGCAAGTTCAAAGGGATGGCCGTGAAGCCCAGGGGGAGCTGGTGAGGGGCAGCACTGCCCACACAGCACTGTGGCCGAAGCCGTGTCATTCAGACGCGTCATTGGGAGGAATCAGTGTTCTTCTCTGACTAGGCCTGTGTCTTTTTCCTGCCGGGCCCCAGGCTGGGACCCTCTTGCATTGTGGGCAGACACCCTGGCCCCATCGTTGCATGGTGGCCCAGGCTTCAACTGGGGGTGGGGAGCATCAGCATGGTTCCAAGGGTGGAATTTCCTAGTAGCCACGAGCTTTCAGGGTACCTGGTCTGCAGCGGGTAGAAGAAGAAAGGCTGCAGACTTCTCCCAGGTGGCGCCTGACCCCAGAGAGCGAAGGACTCAGCCTCCAGATTCACAGAACTTCTTTGAGCCACTAGTTCATGGCCAGGCCTTTCCATGAGTGGAGACTTCTGAGAACCTCGCTAGCTCTGGTGTCGCCATCAACCTAGCCCACAGTGGTGATTGGGAAGGGCCTTGTGCTGTTTCTGGAGGAAGAGTTTTGAGCTGGGTTTGGGGTAGAGCAGATTACCCTCCATCTTCCTTCCTCCAGCCTGTACTGACCAGATACACCCACTTAACCAGTCTAAGCTGAGGCCGCCCCTACACCCAGGTTGGGCACCAGTTTTGCCAGTCTGCTGTAGGGGGTAGATGCTCTGGTGCCGTCTTGGTAGGAAGGAGCTGCCAGAGCCAAGGACAGAATGGGCTGTCTTGGGGGTACCAAGTTTCCTGGTATCTTTCAGACAGCCTGGTTGCGCACTGGGCAGTGATGCCGAGAAGGATCAGAAATCAGATGACCTTGCAGGTCTTGGGCCCTCTGACACCCAGCTTGGTTTTGTTCAGTGGGGCCAGCTTGTGGGAAGGGGGTGAGTAGACAGAGTGAGAATCATTTGGACCTTCTTTTTTTTGGTACCAGGGATCGCACTTGGGTCCTTGCACCTGCAAGGCAGGTGGCAGAACCACTGAGCCAAATCCCCAGCTCTGGACCTTCTTGATAGAAAGTGTTTGAGACAGGCAGCTCTGGGCTATGAGGTGGCCTTGGCCTTGACCAGCCTGGACACTGGTTATAAAACAGGCACAATACAGGACAGCAGAGCCATTCTCCCACAGGAGGCAAGGCAGAGAAGGCAGGTCTGGAAAGGCCCCTAGGGAGATATCGGCCTAGGCCCCTGTTCCTGAGTGAGGGCCAAGCAAGGGGGGCCACCAGATCTGCTCCCCACGAGAGACTTGGGGGTTGGAAGCCAAATCAGCCTAGCCCTCCTCGGCACGGCCGATCTTCCCTGCCCCCTGCAGCCAGGGAATCTGGCTGAGTTGCGGCTTGGGTTTTTATGATGGAAAAATAAAATAAATGGAGGCACCTTTGGAGGGCTGAGTCACGGCAGCAACATCTCCTCATTAAAGCTGTTGCCCCTGGCTCAAGGCCCTGCCCACTTCCCCAGGCAGGGGACTGGGTGGGGCTCGGGAAGGCTCTTGGCCCTGAGTGCCCTCCTCCTTGGACCCTGCCAGGGGCATCCCCACCGTCCAGCAGCCGCCCTGGGCTGGCCTGCTGTTCTTAGAGGGGCCACTGCCAGCCCCAAGCCCCAAGGACTGGCGTCTAACCCTGCCCTCCTGGTGCTGGCTTTTAAACCTTGACCACTCTGGCTGCTGCCACCACAGCCACCACACCTGCTGCCTCTTCTTCCTCCCCTCTCCTCCCCTCTCCCTCTGCTCCTTTTCCTCCTCCTCCTCCTTTTCCTTCTCCTGGTCCTCATCTTCAGAGCCCAAAGGAAGTTGCTCTGTAGCAGTATTACTCTTGGGTCCCCAAGGTGAACAGCAGCTCCTGGGGTAGCCGGGGCCAGGGGCCAGCGAGAGCAGGAAGGGGTTGAGGAGGAGGAAGGCTGTGGCCTGTGTGGAAGGAGGA